TCGAGAAGTCGGCTGTGTGACTGACATGGCATGATGACAACGTTGGTGTGCTAGATTGAACCTTGATGAGATTCTAACCGCTACTTCGTCTGTAGAAATTCTGTTACAGATGCTCCATCAGGTTCAGATTTATAATGCGCATTAAAACTGAGCACAGCTACCGTGAAACTAATGTCCTTGCGATCCTTTATGAAACAGTTCAAACTTTTAACGATAAGCGATTTATTTAATGTGAAACTTAAATTAACGAACAGAGTAATTAATGTAACAAATTCAACCCAACTATATACTATCGGAGGAGCCAGAGGCCGCAACGGTTAAGGCGTTGACATGGTTCACTGTAAGGGTTCCGGGTTCGAATCTCAGCGGCATTGAATTCGAATCTAACGTACAAAATTGTTTTTTTTCAAAAATACCCGGACCCTTAGGATATGACTTCTACAGTTGTGAAACTTTATTACAGGCATATTATATAACTAGAAAGATCGCGGCGGCCTAATGGTATTACAAATACAAAAAATAATTTGTAAAAAAATCTGTATAAAACAACACAAATTGATATTTAGAATGTCTCCAAATAAAATCTATTGCTGAATTTTTAAATATATATTTACTATGACGAGATCAAATGACCGAAGGATGAAGTGGAGTAGTAGTTTAGTCAACATACGACACATATTCCAGGGCTACTGCCAGCAGCAAAAATCATATGTGACCAAATCACAAATGGAGAACTAGTACGGTGGCGAACACTGAATAAGGAGACAAAACACACTGCAAAGTCTAAAAAGACAATTCATCTTGTCCCACGTCAGCGATAGAAATTGCACTCGAACAGAAAAGATGGCTTTTTTTATTGTTCAAGAAAAAAACATGCACAATACGTGGATATAACATGTTGATAAAACAATTATATAAACAAAATGAATACCTTTTTAACATATTATTTTAACAATTCCAAAGATAAAAGCTAAATGTTTTATTTATTTATAAAATTAATAAAACAGTCTCTGAGGTCTTCTTCTACCTTCTAACTGTTATTCGGAAACCGGCCAGGATAATTAGGCGTGCTCTGTGTCTTCTGAAAAAGTGGGCATTCTATGACGAGATGAGAGAATGACCTGGCTTCATGGGCTTGCTGGGAAGTCTTCAGCCCGAGACGGTGTAGGTATACGTTGCAGTTGACATGACCCGTTAACCTTGTGTGAACTTATGGTTCTGTGGAATTTTAATTTAGTTCCTTTTTTTAATTGAGGGTAGATACTGCCAGGTCTTCCCTTCTGTGAGGTACACCACATCTCTTCCCACTTGTCAATGGCTATCTGAGTATACCGCATCTTGGGACGATTGCAATACGTTGTCGGCGTTTTCGTCCCTCGCAGCTTCCTTAACCAAATGGACTGCTTCTTTGTCGTTCTTCGTTGTCACTTATTCCTAAATGAGCTTTGCCCCAATGGAAAATTACCCATTTCCTTAACGGTGATCAGGTATTGATTGGTTTCTACAAGAAAATCATGAGTTTTTTTAGAGTAAAGAGGAATAAAGGAAAACGTGAATAAGCAAAAGATGGCTATAACAGTAACTAACAAAACGGAAAGCTCAACTTCACAGCCTCTACCAAGTTGTATATAACAGAGATCTTTGGAAGAATAGCAACCTCAAGTTTCAGGAAGGCGCCCTAAAACTTTATACTGATGGATCAAAGATGGTTGAAGGTCGTCGGTGGCCGCAACGGTTTAGGCGTTGACACGGCGCTCATCACTTTAAGGTGAAGGTCCCGGGTTCGAATGCAGGAATGCTGGATATACTTACAAATGGGCTTTTTTTCAAAAACACCGGCACCCCGAGGGTTGATATGACCTCTGCTGATGCGAACCCTCGTAAAAAAAAGATGTTCGAGAAATAGGTATAGGGTAAAGGGGCCGAATTACACCCTAGCAAAACCCTTGGACTGGTTCACAGCTTAGGCCCATACAATCTAACTTTGTGCCTAGGGGTTGATGGAGAAGAAAAGTACAGGTGCACGGATATACCTATTTTCGGAGAGTCAGACAGAAATTTAGCTCCAACTAGTCTGCGATTAGTTATTTTTATAACCAAACGTCAAAATGTAAATACATTAAAATTTAGGGTGGTGAGTTTATTTGTTACCAGTGCAGTTGAAACAATTTTTTCTGTCATATTTATAAAAATAAATTTTTGAAAACATTGAATGTTGAAAAGAAAATAATTTAGAATAAAAAAGCGTATTCAATGATTTCCAATCTGTTTGGCAAGATTGTAAGAGCGTATGTAGTTTTTTTTTTTAACTTTATTGTCATGGAGCAAATGGTTAAGTTATATTCCCTCCTGTTTTCCTGTTGGGGCAGCGCCAAACGATTTGTCATCGTGATTCATTTGACTATCATTCATAATGCTGGAAAAGATGTAAAGGGTTGCCGGGCAGTGCCGTGAATGATTGCTGGTACGCAGTTCAAATTATCAGACCGGTGACTTTTTAACGCCTGACGCGACGGTTCGATTCGAATACAAATTGCCCAAACTCGATTCTGGTTAATAAGTCTATTTTTCCACGTCAAACACAAAATTTTCCAGTTTCAATTAAACAATACAAATTGACAGCACATTGTCATATTTCATATTAATTCATAAATCAAAATGAATTTGAATCGATAGGTATGAAAGACTTTTACTAGTTAGTTGCTAGCGCGGATGTGTCCGTTTTCTTTCATAAATTGATAAATTATATATTGCATATATTTTATTCCAGTCTGCCTACCCTGGTGTGTTGGCCCGACAGGCGTGTTAATGCATTTCGCCATCTTCAGAATTGGGTCTGTGTAATTTCTGTAAAGTCAAGTTTGGTTTCTACAAATGGAAGGATGCCTTGGTGGTCTAAGTCTTTTTTATTGTCCCGGCTTGAATGGTCGACGGTCTTATTTATCGTTAATTCTTGGAATTTTGTGTGGTATAAATCTATATTTGAACTGTTGTTAATTTGCGTGTTATTTATTATTTGTAGTGTTATTAAAAAAACAAGCAAAAAAAAAAAAAAAACGCACCCCGTCCTTCATTACCATATAAAAGAGACTTGACGACCAGAAATCTCGCAGTCCCAACAGTCAAAATGGCGAAATGTCGAATTGCCTTTGGTAAACTAACATAGCGAGAATATACAATCAAACAAAAATGACAATACCAAATGATAGGTTCAACAGTCGTATATCACACAGATCTCAGCATATCTTCTGCTTTTTAAAGTATTTATATCTTACAATCAATGGGAAAATTGAATAAAATCTAACTTCATAGTTTTGTTAAAATTTGCTGCTTAACAAGTAGTCGAAGAAAAAGTTAATTATTAACTTTAAATTACTAAAAGCGTAATTTAATTTAAAATAATTTACTTGAATTGTGATTAATTCCATTGGATTGTTTACGAAATAAGAAGAAGCCCCTCAACATCAATGCTTACAAAGTAATCCCTCAGACGGCGTTTTAACGAAAGTTTTGTTTAAGTATTAAGACTTAAGTTACCAACATACAGAAACAATTATAAACAAGGGAAGTTTATTATTCATGACTTTTAAAATTTTTGTCTGTTATTTTAAAACTTTTTGCAACAACGTAAAATAGATTATTTAATTAACTAACGTGTTATACTGAAAAGATAAATTCCCTGTATTCGTGCTCATATCAGCATAGACTCTTATCCTACTCTGTCATAATTAAATTTGCACAGTACGGAAAATAATGCGTGTTTTTTGGCCCAACTTTCAAATAAATCTTTTACGAACATAATAAATAATTTATCAATTCTTTGGAACTGCTTTAAGTAATAAATAATTGCAATACACTTGGAAAATAATTCGTAATATGTTTGACTTAATTCTACCATGGAAAAACAATTATACATCATATTGTCTAAAGATATTTTGGTTAAATTAGTAGTATTTTAGATAGTGTTATCACAAGCCTTCTCCTTTTTTGTCGTTATTTTACCGTAGGCAATATATAAACGCCGTATACTTATAAAATTCATAATATCTATGGAAAATAAAAACTATCTTACATCGCATTGTCCGGCAAATATTTTGATTAAATAAATAAATAGTATACATAACATTAGTGTATCCTCCCATTACCTCTCTCTCTCTCTCTCTCTCTCTCTCTCTCTCTCTCTCTCTCTCTCTCTCTATCTATCTATCTATCTATCTATCTCTTTCTCTGTGATGTTATTTTACTGAATTTTTGATTACTAATTTTTCCGAGTAGCAGCCAAGTTATAATTATGGTACATAAATTTTGGTTGTAATAATTTGTTTCATTTTACTAAATGCTTCTGCAGTTTAAGCAACAAAAATTGTCAACAAAGCATTATTTGTGGATACAAAGCGAAAATCCAATTTTTTAAATTTAAAATTGAATTAGTCACACTCAGAACAATATTTGATAAAAGTCTACAATTGTAACCATTTTTGTCTTACTTGTTTAAGAAAAATTAGTATCAATTTTAGGCTCTATTTTGTTTAACTGTGTTGGTAAGTATTTGTCTTCCTTGTTACAATTTTTAAATCCAATAAATTATTGCTTTGTCAGTTTTAAGCTAAAAGAATTTTGAAATAGAAAATTTGCAATCGAACGAACGTGAATCACATATTTGTACTTGGCTAATGAAATGCATAGAGTTATACATGAAATATTTTGTATTTAAGATGTAAATAATAGACATAAAATAAAATTCATAGTGTTACCATGTAAATCTTATACAGCAACAGTCAACTTTGTCTTAACATTAAATGATTAATTTGACAAAAGGTTTAATTTAATGGCTTATGTTTATGATTCATTTCTCCCAGTACGTTTTCAGTCAATTTCAATACATTTTTCCTGTTTCACAATTTCAGACTTGTTTATTACCACTAGACAGTACACTTTTTAAAATTTCATTGAATAATTGAACCATTGAATCTTTAACAATCCATTTTTTTTCTTTTTTTATTTTTAAGTTTAAAATGAAGCACTCTATTTCTTATTGTTCAGAAAATTATCAAGCGTTTTTTCAATGGATCATATGGCAAACACATTTTCGTTCTTGCATGTCTCAACCAGATTAATAGAAATATAAAAACACAAGATAAATGTTCAGATCTAAATTCCAAATTAAGCAGTCAAGCATGGCAAAGCGACTTACAAATCTGATATTAGTAAGTATTCTTCAGTTGCAACCTCTTCGCGTTTTTTATTCCAAAACGGTAAATTTAACACGTATATCAAAACTATAACAAAACGACTTGGGATTTATTCATAGCACAAAGGGTTTTCTTTTTTAATGTTTTGATTATGTATGATAACGTTTGTACTAAACTAATGTCCTGATTAGTTTCTACAATATTGACGGTTCAGATCGTAGTTAAACGTTAAACCTTTTTACCATATGATTCAATATTAATAAATTTTGTTTAAAACATATATTACCGCGAGATCGAATAAACAACAAAACATGTGAACGATAAAATAAATTTTTGTCTAGAGTAAAATCAAACTGGAAACCCATGTTTTATTTATTACAACCAGCAAACCTATTTTTTATTTATCAATAGCAAAACAAAAATGTTTCATGAAAATAGAGTTGTAGATTTGAAATCTCTCCTAAAGTGCTTTTGCTCTCAGCGAGAAGAGTCACGTGTGATAAGGGTTTTTCGGGATAAAATATTTTATTCCACGTTTTCCCGAGACTAGTTTACACCTCTCCAATATTTCACTCTCGAAAACGTGTTAGTTAGCTTTTATTCTCTCTCTTTATGATTTGAAAAATACCTGTTCTATCACTATTATTGAGTAGTTGTTTAAATTAATTGCTCAATGTTCTGTTTTGTCATCAAGGATGTGGTAAATGAGAGATATTTTTAATTTTAATTCTTCGCTAGTTTTCAGCACTTTATTGTACCTTCTACCTAGGGCTCTACAACAGGATATATCATAAATTTTTTATTTTAACCAATTTAAACCCCCCCCCCCCCAAAAAAAAAGAAAGAATAGACTTAAATAAACATAAATTCTTTTATTTTTATATATACACTAAAATATTTTCATTTTGTCATGTCACCTTTCCAACTATGAAGTGACTAGTCTTATTTATACAAATATCACAGATAGCAAAAGTAAAAACAACAGTAACTGTCAGGAACCGTTTACATCATCTACTGACTTCTAGCAAATTTCCCCTCTTCTTTTCATTTATTGACCATACTAAATTATTAGCTATAAACCTACTTTCGTTCAACTATCTTTTTCCATAACATAAATTACCGTAGGAATAAATAAATAAATTAAAATTTATTTCATTGGAAACATCCCTGCTGATAACTAAAAGAAAATTAAATGCATAAGTTGTTTGATAAATCGAGAAAACATAATTGTTTAATATTTGTCTATAAACTATTGTAAATATACTAATTATGAATCTATTAAAATTTACGGATTGAATTACAATCTAGTATCAACTAAAATTTCACATTTCGCAAATTCTCGAGCCATTCGTTTTCAAGTACGTACGTATTCATTGCTACAATAGAAAATTTAAAATTTAAATTTTTTCCAATCATACTGAAAACACAAACAGGCAGCCTTTTGGCATTTTATACGTAGTATACAGTTCTATTTAAATGTTTTTGTATTGTACCATTAAAGAAATAAACTGAGTATTTGAAAATAGCATAGAATGACGAAACCTCTTACATACCTTCAAAACTGTTAAAAAAAGGCCTAGAATAGAGTGTATCAAACAATCCATATAAAAAAGGGACAAAAAAACCAACAAAATACATTTGTATATAACATGTTGTATGATCAAATAAAAATTGATAGATTTTAAAGGAAAAGTGATTTTTTTAAAATTGATAAATGTAGACAATGTATGACAATATTCAAAGTATGATTTTAAAAATATTTTTTGATTTAAAGGATACATTCCCGATAAGGCGAATGTTTTCCCAGCGCTTTCGTGACAATCCTACTGATCAATATGGAGCTAACCCTTTTCCAATTACACAGGGATGCAATCTTCGATCAAAAATGGTAAGTTCAATGTTTTAAAAAATTATTTGGACAAACCAAATTTAAGCAAATCATTAATGAAATTAATATAATTTTAACTTGATATAATTGTAGTTTAGGTTAAAAAGAAAATGTAATAGATATTTTATGATTTTAAGTTCCATGGTGTTTTGCGTTAAGCTAGTCAGAAATTTGATTCTTTGATATTACGAATACTTTTTAGCAGGAGTCAGGAGTATTTACGTGGGACGCGTCCACCATGTCCCAAGAGGAGCCGAATGATTCATATCGTAAATCGCACGAGGCTAAAGAGGAAGATACTACTCATACCATGGACCCTAATTCATCCATGTGGAGAACCATAACCAGCGACCATAAAGAAATTGAAGAAAAGCCTAAAGATCAGACTCTGAGCATACAGAATTACTACAGGGATCGTTGGATCCAAGAGCACAAAGAAAAACGAAGCGACACCATAACGAAGCAAGCCGTTAAGATCTTTTCCGATGAACCTGCTCCTCAGCAGAATCCAGGGCAGACTCCACATGAAGCTTCTATCTACAGGAAACTCGCAAATAGGAAGATTCCTCAAGTAAACAAATCGTACGACCCTGAAAAGGATGGAGGTTCCGATTCGATCGAATCTATTAAAATCAGTCGGCGTATCAGTGCAGACCAGTTCGACGACGACGATTTCAAAAGCATTCCGCAGGGAAATCGCTGCTACAGCGGTGGTTTGAATGGTACATGCGCTTTCCGCCCTCCTGAATTAACTGTAGGCGCGATACAGAACCAGCCTTATACCACTCCACGATTCCAACTGCCCGAGTACAGCTCTGCACACAAGAATAGCCAGAAAGAGCACCAATTCTGCCATCAGGAAAAGGAAATGCAAACGAACGCACAAAACGCGTACAACGCTGTCCCTCAAAATAATCAAATGAAATATGCTCAGCAAAATATGGAAAACTGGTCCACGATAATCGACGTCAAGGCTCCAGCGACGAGTAAAACGTGGACTGCACATAAACCAGAAGCTAAACAGGACTCAAACCAAGGCAACGCAGTAATCCAAACACAAGATCCGATTGTTACGTTTAAACCGGATATGTAAATCCGATTCACCATGTGATGGTTTCAAGCAATTGTGTCATTAAATGTTTCGGTTTTTTATATTTTTTAAATAAATTGTACACTGTATGTTTAATTTATTTCAAAACCTAAAGCCTCAGCCACATGCAAATTTCACTCTTTTTTTAAATCCATGTGGGTATATGCGCATATACAGGATGTCCTTTTTTGATGGCTCGGCTGAATTTCTCTTGAACCAAGGACGCAATAAAAAAAATTCGTGTTTAATATTTTTTAGACTAGTTCAAATGTTTACCTTTTTTTAGAGAAAAATTATACAGGGTACCTCAGGCTCAATTAAACTTAAAAATTTCAAGTACGACACTACATGTCCTGCCACTTCATTTTAAATGATTTTTTACGCAGAAAATAATGGTGCAATTGGATTATAAATTGGTCAAAAAATGACAAAATTAAGGCAAAAACCGGCAGCGTAATTTCGGCGAGTAGTGGAATATTTGACTGCACTTCGCGAAAGTCCGATTTCCTCTCTTCGAAATCTTGGAAGGGTTTTTTCAAAAAATCTAATTAGAGATGTACTCCGGACTTACAATTGTAAGCCGTATTGCTCTTATATTTTCAAGGGGTATCTGATTATGGCAGGCTTATAACGTTAATGCGTTAATGAGGCTGACGAAAACGTTTTTCCATACATTCTATGGACTGATGAATCCAAGTTCACCTCTAATGGCACTCTAAACCGTTGGAATTTTCGGATGTGGGCAGAGGAAAAGCCGAGAATTTCGTACTCTTGTCATCATCAGGAGGTTCGCAGTATCAATGGTATGGACTTCTCGGGAATAAATTAATTGCGCTTTATTTCTGCGAAAATAATTTAAATGGTGCTCAGTTCCTCAATTTTTTGAGGGAGGATTTACCAACATTATTAGATGATGTTCCTCTGCAACAACGACAAAGAGTGATTCTCCAGGTTGATGGATGGCCCGCACATAATTATTTGCAAGTGAGACGTTATTTGAATCGACACTTCGGAGATAGGTGGGTAGAACCTCACGGCCCGATCTCTTGGCCTCCTCGGTCACCCGATTTAACTCCATTTTAGTATTTTCTGTGGGGTCATTTAAAAACCGATATCTTCGCCAATCATAACCCAGTAACATAATTTGAAGACCTGCGGCAAAGGATGGACAAAGAAACTGCTTGTCAATCCATCCCCCTGACTTTATCGCTCTCAGGTCAAGTGTGGTTAAAAAGAGCAAATCTTGTCAATTGGCAGTTACAACATGAAATGTTATTAATAAATAGCAAATCAAATGTTTTTTTTTTCTTTTAATTTTTGCCACAACTTAGTCATTTTTGGATGATGTCCGATTGCACCATTGTTTTCAGCGTCACAAATCCTTTGAAATGATGTGTCAGGATGTATAGGGTGAAATGTTGAAGTTAAACTGGGCCTGAGGTACCCTGTATAATTTTTCTCAAGAAAAGTTAAAAATTTCAGACTAGACTAAAAGATATTAAATACGCATTTCTTACCTTTTTGACAGTGTCATTGGTTTAGGAGAAATTCAGTCGGTCCATTTAAAAAAGGACACCCTGTATATGTGAAATGTGAATATATATCCACTTTCGCAAAATTACAAGGCACTCTAACTACAAATTGTATGCTTAAGCCTTTTTTAACACTAGAAATCATATAGTTTTTGTCAAATTACCTGGATATTTTTTGACTTTTATCATTATATATAGGGAATATTGACGAAAAATACTTATATAAAGCGAAATGAAATAATTCCTCTGATACAGGATTAATAATGCACAGCTGTGTACGTCTGTACACTTAGCCGAACACTCGGGAGGTAAATATGAATGAAAGAAAATTTAGCCAGCAAACGTTTCTCATGAATTATACTCATTTCAGATAATTCGGGGGGCGTCAGATAAGAAATTCCACCCCTCTTTCATACAATTTATTAAAGCTGATATCATTAAATACAGATTTTATTCTTTATTCTGCAATGTCATGAGTGTTATTGATTCAATATGATTCTGAGTCATAGATGGAAAAACGATTTTTGTTAATAGAATATCTAGTCCAGGGGTGCTCAAACTTGAACTGCTGGCGATCTACCTCAATATTTTTAGACTACTTACGATCGACTCTGAGAGGCTGCAAGTGTGTGTGATGCAGGGTTGTCGTACATACACGATACACCCTACCTACCTAGGTAGGGTGTACCGTAGCATATATAGATATTAGCTTTCTGCAATTTATAGGTACATTATTTTAGTCAAGGTTTGGGTTAGGTTTAGTTAGGTTCTTCTCTACAATATCAATGAAAAAACTCATAGTTATTCAAAATTGCGAGTTTATTGGTTGTTACAAAACAAAAGAGTTACATATGGTGTTAAACTTAACTAAGGAGTGGCTTTGGATGTTGAAGCGTGGCACTGCATGTCCTCAGCATACTTTTCATAAGATGGTACGTAACCACTGAGTGCTAATCGCAAGCATGATGACATATGATCGTCAGTTAGTCGATTGCGATATTTTGACTTAATTATCTTCATTTCAGAAAAATTTTTGTTGCAATGCCCATAATTTCCTCCGTGTTTAAAACTTTTGAACACAAAACTTGTTGATGTATAATGCAATGGAATGAAAAAAATGAAGGGAATTCTTCATTAGCTCGACACAATGCCACAAAACCGTTTTTGTTTCCAGTCATTGCTGGTGCTCCATCGGTTGTAATGCACACTAATTTATATATTGGTAGCTCGTAGTTTTTTACAAAATTGAAGAAAACGTCATATATACCTTCGCCACGGGTCTTCCCCTTCAGAGGAATGATTGTCAAAAATTCTTCCTTAGCCAACATGTCATTGAATACCATCCGAATAAAAATACACAGCTGGGCAGTGTCTGTCATATCGGTGGATTCGTCGAACTGTAAAGAAAAGTATGTACATTCCATGATATCATGTTTTAGTTTATCTGCGATGTCCTGACTCATGACTTCAATACGCCTTGTGACAGTCGGACGAGATAACTGAAGTTCTCTAATAGCAGACATGATTTCTGTTTTATTTTTAAAATCTCCAAATAAAGTCTCACCCGCTTCAATAAATGCTTCCTTCACCACCGATCCATCTTCGAATGGTTTCTTGTATTTCGCCAATATATGAGATATTTTAAATGACGCGATCGTAGCAGCTTTTGATTGTTTGGCTGGTCTTGTGAACATGGATTGTTCTTTTTTCAAACAAGATATCAAATCACTTACTTTTCGTTTTCTTAATTCACTCTGTGGCGGAAAATCCTTTTCATAGTTTTTATGAACCGTTTTATGATGCCTCTCTAAGTTACCACGCTTAGGTATTGCAACTGACGCACGACAAATAACACAAATGCACTTATCCTTCACCATACAAAAGAAAAATTCTTCCTCCCAATCCTTATTAAAATGATACGTTTTCGATTTCACTGCACTCATTTTCCACTATTTAATAATAAACTTTGTATCGACGTAGTATCGCCATCAAGTTACAATTCAGAATGACTCCAATTCCTGCAGGCACAACATTTATATCGGCGTGAACGAAAGTCTCGAATGTTCCCGTCAAACGCGCCGCCCGAAACTAGACTGTACTGTCTCTCGTTGTTTCTAGACTAGACTGTACTGTCTACTAGTCTAGAAACAACGCGGCTTTTCTTTGACAAGTGCCGCGCGTTCCTTTGATAAAGCCACCTTTTGCCGCAAGCAGTGTTATTTTATTACGTAATACATTTTTGTAGTTTAGTTACCTACCTACTTATTAAAAATTTTTTTCTTCTCGAGATCCACTCAAAAAGCACTCGCGATCGACTGGTCGATCGCGATCGACCGTTTGAGCACCCCTGATCTAGCCGATATAATTTAGACAGAACGAAATTTTATATGTGAAATGTTAACTTCTGAATGATTAAACGATGAACATAAATCGTCTCTGCGGCAGAGAAAAAAATTCTTTTTGTCATAAATGATCCAGAAGCGAATGGGGAATGAATAAAAATCGAAAGGAAAATTTATCGGTTGTATTTCTTTCGTGTAAACAGAACGGATGTCCCGTTTATCTGATCACATGCCGTTAAAAAAGAATTTCTTTGTCGAATGTCAACAAGAGTCAGGAAATGGCAGATAAAACGAATGTGCAATGTAGACTGAAACGACTTGAGTATTGTGGGCATGTAGTAGTCTAACGAACCTGACACCGCCTACGGAATAAAAGGGTGCGACCACGTTGCAACTTAACACGTTTATTAGTTTAAGACGAGACGAGGGCCGACTCACAAGAAAGCTTCGAGGTCAATTAATTTAACGAGGTTTTAGCGGTGGACCTGTAATCAATAGGCGCGGCTATGGTCCTTCGGTGTCCACATATTGCACGCACAGCGGATTAACACTCGTTAACGGGTTGGTTCTGTCCAAAGTAAATACTGAATCGACTGATGAAAATTTATAGCCGCTGAAAAAGAAACGAGTGTAGGTCGAAGGGTGGGTGAAATGGAAAAAATATGACAGCAAAATAAACTCGATTGTATAGGGAAGAATGAAAATATCGAAAAGATGTTTTCACCCTGCACCGAAACGGAAGTGATGGAAATACGCATTGGCAGCACTTCTCGGCGTAGGCTGGTCATTGATGGATAAAGGTGACAGTCTGAAAATCACTCAAAGAAACTTTCTAAGGAAGAAAACTTCACGTCATAGAGTACAATGTTCAAGTTTACAAAATGTGACAGTCAGCAAAATGAAATGCGCGATTCTCCAATAAAAATAACCTTAAACATAATGGTAAAATTTTGACTTTCATTAGACACTCGTTCGATTGATGTTAAATCGAGCTGTCCGTACTCAAACATTATCAACAGTTGAATGACATTGACATATTTACCTATGATAACAAATTATTATGATTATCGTAACTGGATTATCATTTTTAAATTCGGATAGATTATTAAATATGAGCTAAACAAAATCTCACAAAAAACATTTTTACAAGTTAGTAGTACGGGTCATTCCTTTAAATCTGCATGAGTAGATAATAAAGGAGAAAATGAAATACTG